TGAGGGCAGATTGTCCTTTGAGAATTAAAAAAATCAACAAAAGATTATGCTAGAGTCCTTAAGAACAATGGTTCTTAATCTTTCTTACTCTCCAGTGCCAGTAGCTGGGGGAAGGAAGGCCTACTCTTGCACGAATTCCATGCATTGGGCCTCTAGTTAACTGAATAAGAATCGATAAAGTTGCTGAAACCGGTTTGGCTCAGTGGTAAAGCGTCGGTCTGTGGACTGAAAGGTCCCAGGTTTGATTCCGGTCAAGGGCATGTACACTGGTTGCGGGCACATCCCGGTGAGGGGTGTGCAAGAGGCAGCTGGTCCATGTTTCTCTCTCATCGACGTTTCTAGCTCTCTATCCCTCTCTCCTACTCTCTGTAAAAAATCAATAAAATATATATTTTTTTAAAAAGAATTGATAAAGTAGCAATGTAATATTAATTGGTGTGATATTATGAGGCATTCCATCACTGGACAAGCATTTAAAAATATATATATATTTTAACTGATTTCAGAGAGGAAGGGAGAGGGAGATAGAAACATCAATGATAAGAATCATTGAGCCCTAGCCAGTTTGACTCCATGGATAGAGCACTGGCCTTCAGACTGAAGGATCCGGTTCAATTCTGATCAGGGGCTCAATCCCCAGTAGGGGGTGTGCAGGAAGCGGCCAGTCAATGGTTCTCTCTCATCATTAATGTTTCTATCTCTCTCCCCCTCTCCCTTCCTCTCTGAAATCAATAAAGATATATTTTTAAAAAGAATCATCGATTGGCTGCCTCCTGCACACTGAGGATCCAGTGGCAACCCAGGCATGTGCCCCTGACCAAGAATCCTACCATGAAGTCTTGGTTTATAGGTCAAAACTCAACCACTGAGCCACACCAACCAGGCCTTGGCAAAGCATTTTTTTTTTAAATGTATTTTATTGATATTTTACAGAGAGGAGAAAGGGAGAGAGAGAGAGCTAGAAACGTCGATGAGAGAGAAACATCGAACAGCTGCCTCTTGCACACCCCCCACCGGGGATGTGCCTGCAACCAATGTACATGCCCTTGACCGGAATCGAACCCGGGACCTTTCAGTCCGCAGACCGACGCTCTACCACTGAGCCAAACCAGTTTCGGCCTTGGCAAACATTTTTTAAAGATAATTTCTCCTCCCTCACAAAGAATTATACTCACCTCTTGCTTATAAACTGTAGCAATCTATATGCTAAAAAAAAAAAAAAAAAAAAAATCCCAAACTAGTCTTTTAATTCTCAAAGTAAAATTCAATATAAACGAGCATTATTTAGGTTATTAATAAAAAATGTATTTCTAAAAACCTTTCCAAGAATGGGGAAGGGAAGATTTGCAAAGAAAGAACTGAAAAAAAAAAAAATTTAAAAGGAAAGGAAATTAAAGGAAGATTAACTACTTTAGGAGTTTTAGGAAGAATGTGAGGTGATAGGCATCAAGGATCCTCATTAAAATGTTATTATGTGCCTCTGTAAATGGCAGTTTACATACCTAAAACGAAAAGCATTACAAGTGTGTATACTTATTTCAGTAGCTCCACCATTCTTTTAGTTTTCCAGATTTAAAATCTTGGAGATACTATAGACTTTTACCCTAATTTTTTCTCCAGTTAATCAGTCATCAAATTCTAATATTTTTTCCTTCAAAATGTCTCCTGTGAATACAAAGCAAAATTCCCAATTTCAAAAGAATAAATACAAAAAGCGAAGACTATTAAAAAGAACATTTTTCAAATGAAAAATGAGAAGTATTCATGATATACTGAGTCAAAACAAAACACCCAACCGCCATAGGGAGAAAAATGTATAATCCTAGTTTCATAAAAGAGAAGATAGTTATCAACATAAAAAAAAAGATTTGAAAGGAACCACTCTACATGAAAATGTTAACAGTTGTTCTTCCTGTTTGAGGGAGTTTATAACTGTGTTGCTTTTTCACACTTTCTCTATCCACATTTCCTAAATTTTTTTTATCATAAATATGCACTATTTTCAAACTTAGAAAAATCCTTTTTTTAAAAATTGTCTCATTTTGCCACTCGTTGTCTATTTTCATTGCTCTCATCCTATTCCTTCAGTCTGCCTTCCCCAGGACTGTAACAACAGCCTCCTTCCCCTTGAGGTCCCCCATTTCTCCCCAACTTACTATTACTTGTATACATGCTCCTAAAACTCAGCATTCATACTTATCTACAGCATATGGAAACAGAGCTGACCATATAAACAATCAACTTAAAATAGTGATTCTCAGACTCAGGGCCACTGATCTAGGGGTAATTATTTCTTATGAAGGGGCTAGCCTATTGCAGGATGTTTAGTAGCATCCCTGGCCTCTACCCACTGGATGCCAGTGGCTTCTCCCAAATGTGTGTGTGTGTGGGGGTGGGGATCCCAATTGCCCCCAGTTTTTTTAAAAATACATTTTGTTGATTTTTTACAGAGAGGAGGGGAAAAGATAAGAGAGTTAGAAACATCAATGAGAGACACCGATTCAGCTGCCTCCTGCACACCGCCAACTGGGGATGTGCCCACAACCAAGGTACATGCCCTTGACCGGAATCGAACCCGGGACCTTTCAGTCCGCAGGCTGACACTCTATCCACTGAGCCAAACCGGTTTCAGCATATCTCTCATCATTGATGTTTCTATCTCTCTTTCCCTCTCCCTTCCTCTCTGAAATCAATAAAAATATATTTAAAAAAGGAAAAGTTATAAAACTTCCAAAATTATATATGTATCTGCATATATATATGGCCTACACTTCTTGATATGTCTTTAAAAACATTCCTCAGTCTTGCCCACATCTTATTTTTCTCAGTAGGAACTTCCTAGAAGAATCCTTTTCATTCTCAATTCCAAGCCTTTGAACAGTTTCCTCACTACAATTCCCATTCATATTTTCGGCTTATATCCATTCTTCAATTGTCAGTTCTTTGCAGAAGCTTTACTGATTTGCTCAGTTCAGTTCAGCATACGCCCACTAATATAGAGCATTACATATACACATATATATTTGTTTGCTTGTTAATCTCATACCCCAAATTAGAGTAACCTCCCTCAGAATTTTAGGGAGATTACTCAGGCACATTTCTGCTGTATAGCTATTGTGCTAACACTGTCCTGGGCATAGAGGCAATTAAAGCTGGACAACTGATGAATGAATTTAAATGCACTGCTGTTAATGGTGTAAGCTATTGTTTTCTTTTTTAATAAGTTGCTTTTGAACCTAATGGAGCGATTGGTTAAGTATAATCATTCAAAATGCTCAGTAACCTTCAAAACGTTTTCAGAATGAAAACATTAATATTTAATGGTATATTTTCAGGAACACCTAGTGGTGGGCTTTTTTCCTTCCCTTTAAAATTTTTGGAAACATGTAAGTTTTGAAATGTTCTCTACACTTTCAGGAAATCATACAAAGAATTTAAAACTATTAATTTAAAACTATTAAACATGAACTTTATGAACTCCATTTATTTTAAAATACCCAATGGATTGGATTTTTTCCTCAGTGTACAAAACTTAAATATGGCCCTGACTGGTTTGGCTCTGTGGATAGAAGGGTCCTAGGTTCAATTCCAGTCAAGGGCATGTACCTTGGTTGCGGGCACATCCCCAGTGGGGGGGGGGGGGGGGGGTGCAGGAGGCAATTGATCAATGTTTCTCTCATTGATGTTTCTAGCTCTCTATCCCTCTCCCTTCCTCTCAGTAAAAAAAAATCAATAAAATATATGAAAAAACAAAACAAAACTTTAAGTATGGTCAACAAGAGCAGACAACTCAATTTTATTAGTGTCTGGATATACATCGACACAAATACACTTTGCACACATCTATATTATATCCAAGCCGAGAGAAGTAAATGAAATTAAAGTGCTTTGTGAACTTAAAAAAATAAAAAATAAAAAAGCCACATACAAAGAAGGCAACAGACTAGACAGGGCTGCATAGTCGCACGCTGGAAGCCAGCCTGCGTGGGCCCCGGCAATGATCAGCTGTGTGTCCCAGTACACGTCACTTCAGCTCTCTGTGCCTCGGTTTCCTCCTTGTCAAATGGGGGTCATAGTACCTGTCCCACATCGAAACTCCAGAAACAGTGCTTGCATACAGAAAGCACAACATAAACAGTGACCCCTGTTATTACTACACCATTCGCTATTAGCCTAGTAAGAAGCCTTAATGTCTCAAGTTCTGGTTCCAGTCTGGAGCTGGTTTCACAAAAAGCAGGATAAGCTGTTTACAAGTTTAAGCTATTACGTGGACTAGTCGCTCAAAATTTCTGCCGGTGCCAAGCCGGCGATTATTCCAGAATTCCTGTCTGTCACAGTAGCTTATTTTTTTTTTTAATCTGCTAGGAAACTGACATAGACAACCCTGTCTTCAAGGAGCTTTACAAGCCACCAGGAAAACAAATCCGCTCTTTGTTATCTCCATATGTAAGTCCATTCGGGAGCGAAGAAAAAGGCTTAGGTAGTGACTTGACCAACTTCTCAGAAAGCACAATGAGGTCTTTTAAGGTTGCAATCAGCAATTCTTATGCAGTTATGTCAAGTTTTTGTCCGGCTACACAAAAGCTTATCAGTCCGGGCACCGCGAGGCCGGCGGAGCACCGGGAGCTCGCGGCGGCCGGGCCGGCGGCGGGCGGCGGGGAAGCCCGTCCTCCGCCGGCGCCTCGCGCTCCGTCCCCGCCCCGGCTGCGGCCGCCGGCTCCGCCCGAAGACAAACAGTGACAGCAGGTCCCGTCCGCGCCCCGCCCGCCCGCCCGGACCCCCCGCGCCCCCGGGGCCGCAGCCCCGACCTCCCCGCCGCGGCCGGGCAGGGGGTTCGCCCCGGGGACCGCAGCCTCGCGCCCCGGCCCCGGCCCGGGCAGCCCCGCCGAGGCCCCGCGGGGCCTGCAGGTGGGCCCGGGGCGCGGCCAGGCCCCAGAAGGAGCCCTGCCCGGGCCCGGCAAGCTGCGGGCGGGGGCGCGCGCGGCCCGGCCGTCACTTACCGGCGCCTCATCGTCCCGCGGCGCCTCCGTCGAGCCCCGGCGCTCACCCTCTGCGCCCGGAAGCCTAGAGCGTCCCCGGGCTCCCGGGCCGAGCCCCACTCAGGGCCATTCAAACGCGGCCGCGCGCGGGGCCCGCCGGGATTGCTCCCCTTGGGCGTCTCTCAGGCCCCGCCCCACGCTGGCCCCGCCCCTCTCGGGGAGCGCCGGAGGGAGGGGGCGAAGAGGGCGTGTGGCCACAGTGCCCCCTGGTGGTCACAGATACGCACACTGGTCTTGCTACGTCGCGGTAATAACTGCTTCGGGGGACGGGAGGAGACTGTACCTTAAGTGTTTCAAACTATTTGCTATAAAAATATGGTACAACGGGGAGAGCTAGTCACTTCCACACTGGACAAAGGATTTAAATGCATGGACTCTGGAGCTATATGACGTGTGTTTTGGTTTCCTCATCTGTAAAATTACTAGGGGTAATAGTCATAGCTGCCTCACTACTGTGAGGATTAAATGAGTTAATACATATAAAATGCTTAGAAGAATGTATCTGGCACATGGTAAGCACTATATAATTGTTCCTAATATGTGTCAGACTCTGTGTTAGACTCATAAGAACACAAGAAATATGCATGATGCAGATGCTGTCCCCAGGAGGCAGGCTTAGTCTCTTTGGAATGGAGTACACTCAAGTATGAGGTCAAATTTGGGTCTATCCCTGAGATGCTTTTAATTACTGAGGGTAATTATCTTTATTTTAGTGGAGTCAGAGTCTACCCATCTTCAACAATGAGCCACTGGTCAAGGTTAACCAAAATGTAACAGGAGCAAGTAGTCTTTGATGGGCCTCTCACCCCTTGCAGAAGCCAGTCAAGTAGTGCATTTATTTTAATCCTCACCTGGGGATATGTTTTTTTTTACTTTCCTTTTAGAGAGAGATAAAAACAAACAAACATTAATGTGAGAGAGAGATACATCGATCGGTTGCCTCATGGCATGCTCCTAGACCAAGGATCAAACCTGAAACCTACTGTATGTATGTGCCCTGACAAGGAATAGGACCCTCAACCTTGTGGTGTACAGACAACACTCAAAGCCACCCAGCCAGGGCTCAAGTAATGCACCTGATGGAAAATATCCTCCCTGCAAGACTACATCCTTTGATGCACCTTTTTAAGGCTCTCCTCACAGAACTCTCCTGGGCTTGCCTAAGAAACAGGTTGGTTATGTTTGGCACAGCAATATTATTGAGGATCTACTATGTGCCACACTGAAATTGTGCCAGGCGCTTGAGATAGCCTGGAGAACCTCACAGTGGCTTGGGAAAACAGGGAAAGAGTCATTCCAATACACTATGGTGATTGCAGTGATAAAAGGGTATATTCTAAATATACTATGGGGCAGATAAACTAATCGGAGCTGAGGTGTCATTAGGTGAAAATAACAATGTATTTTTTTTTAACTAACTTAAACCTTTGTATTCTTATATAGTGACAGCTACAAGGTACACAGGCGGGAAATGGCTATTAAATGAAGGAAAAATAAAAAGTCAGCTCCCTGTTAAATCACTTTATGTAAATATTCAGACATTTACCACTTTAAAAAATATCTATTATCTATTAAATGTAGATGATAGGCAAAGATGAAAGAAGTTTTATTTTTTGGGGAAAGGGGATTGCAAGGATGCCTACCGTATACTGTTTTCAAAGCTCTTTACACCATTGCCATAGAATCTAACTGACAATTTCACCTAAGTATTTAAACCAGAAAGAGACATCTTATAATAAATATAAGTGGTTGTTTGTTTCCAAGTTTTGGCAATTATGAATAAAGCTGCCTCAAACATCCATATGCAAATTTTTGAGTGGACATAAGTTTTCAACTCCTTTTGTTAAATACCAAGGAACATGATTCTGGATCCTATGGTAAGAGTACGTTAAGTTTCTTAAGGAACTGCCAAAGCACCTTAATATTAAGATGAAAGTTGTTTGAACCACATCAATAAGCTGTCTTTTAGAGTGGCTGTGACATTTTGCATTCCCATCAGCAATGTATGAAAGTTCTCATTCCTCCATATCTTCACCAGCATTTGGTATTGTCAGTGTTCTGGATTTGGGCCATTCTGACAGATCTGTTCTATCCTATTGTTTTCCTTTACATTTCCTAATGACAAAGGATGTGGAGCATCTTTTCATATGCTTATTTGCCATGTGAACATCTTCTTTGATAAGGTGTTTGTTAAGGTCTGTCAACCAAACTTTTATTCAGTGCAAAGAGCTTAATTATGTTACAGCATGGCGGCCACTCAGTAGTGATACAGCTCGCTGATGAGACAGCACAGCGCTAGAACAGCACAGCTAGGCAAGGACATGGCTATGCTGTGTCCCTGGGGTGACTTGCTTCTCTGGGTAGACAGCAGTGCTTCCTTCCAATATGGTCGAGTCCACTCTGTCCTGCTCCAGTTTGTTCTGGATGCACACTCTGATCGCTCTGTTCTACTCCTCTCTGGCCCTGAGAATAACCATGTGTTTTTCCTCCCTAGTAACAGGGCTCTTAGTGTAAAAATGTAAGCAATGGTGAAATTTTTCAGGCATGAATTTAGGTCCATGGGAGAAATATTTTTAGGATATGTTTTTCTCGTAAGCAATGCCTTTGAACTGCTCTCGGATTATACCAAGCACAAGCAGGAACATGCCTCTGTGTGGGGCCACACCTGTTAACAAATGGGACTGGAGAGAGAGCCCAGCAGGGTGAGCGAAGAAAACAGGAGCCCGGGGTTCTAGATGTCTGCAACGTAGAACATTCCACTAAGTAGGAGTGCAGCTGTAAAGAAAATAAAATTCGGTACACATGGGTGAAGTCACTTTCTCCCAAGCTATTTCTTCATCACCATTATCAGAAACAGGAATTTCCTGATGGCCCACTATAGAAGAGACCTTGTACTGGGCCCTCAGCAGAAGGTGAGAAAGGTATGAGACAGTACTTACCCTCAGGGATGCTGCATGATGTGGTAAGACAAGTAACGGGGCCTCGGGAAATCTGCTGGGTTAACACAGAAGCATCTCCCCTGTGTAAGACCCAGGCGGTCTGAAGGCCTGACAGAATCTTATGTTCTCACCTCTGGAGCTTCTTAGTGTCTCAGGCAGGTTCATCTCCAGACTTAGGTTTGGAGGTTTAGACCAATGGGTGAGTGGCCCTGGCCCCTAGAGCTCAGGTGACTGCCAAGTGTCAGCAGAATTTAAGGTGAAAAAAAAATTTTTTTAATGGCCTTATATTGCTACTTTTGAAATATATACTATTTTAATGATGAAAATGCAGGTCAGGGGAGACACCAAGATGGCGGCATAGGATAGACACCCGAATGCAGCCTACCACAACAAATTTGAAGTTTGAACTGAAAAACAGGGGAGGCATTGCCCTGAAGTGCTGGACGGCTAGCTGAGAGGAGGCTCTGCCATCTGGGAAGGAGAGAGAAGGCACGCTGAACCTCAGGAACTGTGAAGGTACAGAGAACTGTGTGCGCGAAAAGGCGCTGGCTTACTCCCAGCGCGGGGAGAGGAAGGGCCGGACAGAGATTGCTGCTGGCTTACTCCTGACGCAGAGAGGGCGGGCCGGGCTGAGTTCGCTACTGGCTTACTCCCAGTGCACAGAGAGGGCGGACAGCTAACTGGCTTTCTTGTTCAAGAGGAAAACAGAATCAGCCTATTGCTCTGATAGACGGCCCCAGACAGGGAGAGGCCAGACTGTCAGGCAGTGGGCAGAGATCTCTCAGGGGTGTGTGAAGCCAGAGGCCATTACTGTGGGACTTGGGGAGGAGCCCAAGGGAAAACAGTTTGTCTGCACCAACCTGAGACTCCGCCCAATCTCTGGCTGAGCACAGAAGCTCTCCCAGAGGCTGGCTTTCTCTAAGGAGGGACTGGTAGGAACCCAAAGCTTGTCTGTGCCTTTACCAAAGAGGTGCGCGCGCCTGCAACCAATCTTCCGAAACTCTCCGAGAACAGGTCTTTTCTAAGGCGAGACTGACAGGGAACCAAAGATTGTCTGCGCCACCCCGAGACCCCGCCCTATCCAAGCAGAGTACAGAAGCCCTCCTAGCTGAGACTCTGCTGATCCTCACAGCCAATTGGCTTGGAGATCAAAGCTTCCCAGTGATACCAACAATAAGCAAGGCTTTACAACAAGACTGCACACACAGCCCACAAAGAGCTACACCAAGACTGTCCACCGCAGGTAACTGGGAAGGCTATGCTACTGGGCTCTACCAGAACATCTAGCACACAAAGCTATTCCATCAAATCAGGGAAACAACTAAAATGCAGACAAGAGGAAGGAGACAAAGGAAGGAGATGGAGGAAAAGAAAAGATTGGACATTAAGTTCAAAACTACAGTCATAAGATTATTCAACAATATCCTAAAAAAAGGTCGATAAAATAAATGAGACCTATGAGAATATGAAAAGGGAGCAACTAGAAATAATAAGGGATCAACAAGAAATGAAGAAAACATTGTCTGAAATAAAAACTATTGTACAAAGTCCTAAAAACAGACTGGAAGATCGCAAGAATCAAGACAAAGATTTAGAACACGAAGAGCCAGAGGACACTCCTCTGCAGAAGGGAGAAGATAAGAGAATCCAGAAAGTTGAAGATAGTGTAAGAAACCTCTGGGACAATTTCAAGCGAAACAACATCAGAATTATGGGGATTCCAGAAGAAGAGAAAGAGCAAGATACAGAAAGAATACTGAAAGAAATAGTGACAGAAAACTTCCCCCACCTGGGGAAAGAAATAGACTTACAAGTCCAGGAAGCCCACAGAACCCCAAACAAAAGGAATCCAAGGAGGACCACACCAAGACACATCATAATTAAAATTCCAAGAGCAAAAGACAAAGAGAGAATATTAAAAGCAGCAAGAGAAAAGCAGGTAGTTACCTATAAAGGAACACCCATACGATTGTCAGCTGATTTCTCAACAGAAACCATGCAGGCCAGACGGGAATGGCAAGAAATATTCAAGGTGATGAATAGCAAGAACCTACAGCCAAAGATAATCTATCCAGCAAAGCTATCACTCAGAATCAAAGGACAGTTAAAGAGCTTCACAAATAAAAAAAAGCTAAAAGAGTTCATCACTGCCGAACCAGAATTATATGAATTGC